TGCATTTTTGGGCCAAAAAAGGCCCCTAACTTGGTTTTCGCAGGTTTTTATGCAAAACCAACTAAAACCAGCCTAAACCAGCTGAAAATGGCCAAGTCGAGAGGAACTACCACCGTGGGCGACGGAACCAGCGCCGGAACACGGCGGCGACGTTGTGTAAGAACTCTAAATTGGTAGAAAAAGTTTTAAAATGCCTATTTTAGCCTTTTGGGATATTTTTTATACGTGGTGGGTATTTTTAATTTTTTTAGGAAAAATTCAGGAAATCCAGAAACTGTCAAGAGGTATAGTGAAAAGTATGGTATTTCGGACACCAATTCGAGGTAAGAATCCATCATTCTTTCCTTCGTTATGGTAAATTAAAGTGTGATAACTAATAATGGTGTGTTTTATAAAAATTAAAAATTTCTAAATTAATTATAGGTCACCAGTGGAGCTAGAATCGGTTAGTGTATAATTGCTCTAGCTGTGTTGTTTATATTCTCATATACTATCTAAATTACTATTGTTTATTTATTTTAATTACTTTCTCGTTCATTGATTACTTGATTGATTATTCTCACTTATCGACTGATTTGAAATAAATGGCCTAGTCACATTTTTTTTTATTTTCGTATTGTCTATTTGTATGACTTATTGTTGATATGTAAATGCGAAATATTGGTATGTAATTAGTGATTGGTTGATGATGTGGATATATTTATGAAAAGTTTATCAATTACCCTAGGGAAGGGTGTATCGATGCATAGAAAAATTTCTACCGTGAATATTAACTCAGTCGAATGGGGCTGAGAAATCCCATACCAAAAGGGATTGAGGGGTATAGTTCACCTTTATACCGGATATGATATGGAGACGGACGATTAAATGATAGATTGGATATTCACGCATAAGATCCTTATGGACCCCAAGAGGTACTGGTAAACAAGTAAGAAGGTAAGTTACTATTATTGTTCATTTAAATATGAAATAAAATGTTACCATGATTATTGTCTTCATATGTCAGTTTTGAAAACTTGTAAGGGTAAGTATGAGAATAACAACTTTTGTGTTAAATGATTTTATTTAAAAAGAGATAATAGTTTCATTGGTTGTTTATAATTTTTATCAATTTTAATTTTTCATATCGGTGCTAAGCGTAATATTCTTATTGGAACAATGTAGTTCATCATCTTATTTAACTATTTTCATATCAGGAAGATTAAGATTCAGATTCTGAACAGTAAAAAAAAACTTGCAAATAAAGCTGTTTTCCGCATTCCATCAGAGTCGCCAAGCAGAGATTAACTCAATAAAATTTTTAGTAATATTTTCTTTTATTTATTTATTTTGATATTAAAAACTTTCTTAAAAGAGCATTCTCATAATTATATTGGATATTTTGATTTATTATGTAAGAAATATAAATTTTAAACTCTTAATTGCTTTCGCATTTACTCTATATATTAATTTTCCTTAATTTATGGGCTTCTACAATGTACATATACTTAAAAATAATATTTCAAGTACAACCTAAATAATATGTTTTAAAATCTTTGAAATTTAATAAAATTATGAACGTACTGTTTTCATTATGTTTTGATAAAAAATAGTCAAAATAAATTGAAAGAAAGTCACCCAGATTATATGCACACGTTAAATTTTTGCAACTTCATATGTACACGTTGAGTTGACAGAAAGTTGAAATTAATTTTTGGACGTACGATAATCAATTATCTATGTAACTTTACGTTACCTCTTAAGTTGTTTAAATTACACACTCTCAATCATTCTTTTTTTTCTTTAAAAAAGATGAGTCACTGCTCTTTCATCACTCTTCTCTTCCCTCTTCTCCTCCTTTCATGGATTCCCTCTCTTTCTCTTTCACAAACCACAAATCCCACTCTGCCACTCAGAGCTGTCAACTTGGGAAACTGGCTTGTCACAGAAGGCTGGATGAACTCCTCCCTCTTTGATGGAATCCCCAACAATGATCTTCTCGTACTACTTCTCTCCATTTTCTCCATGAAAATGCTCTTATCATTTCCATAATCCCCTTCTTGTTTTGTCCACTCTGTTAAGCTATTGTTCTCTGTTTTTTTCACTAGGATGGAACCCAAGTACAATTCATGTCCGCAGGTCTCCTCAACTATCTCTCTGCTGAAAATGGCGGTGGGACAGTTGTTGTGGCCAACCGTCCTTCGGCTTCTGGCTGGGAAACCTTTAGGGTAAATTATCATCTCACATTTTGAGTACTGTTTATATTATATTAATTCTTCATGACCTGGTCTTATTTCCATTTACGATTGCAGTTGTGGAGGATGAACGAGACGTATTTCAATTTCAGAGTGTTCAACAAGCAGTTTGTGGGTATAAAAAATGGCGGTCAAGGAGCCAATGTAGTAGCTGTCTCTAATGGAGCCGGTGACGCAGAGACGTTTCAGATAGTGAGGAAAGATGGCGACGGCAGTCGGGTCCGTATCAGATCAGCAAATGGGTTTTTCGTCCAGGTAGTTTCTTCCTGCTTAATCTCCATAAACACATACACGCGCATGATGTAAGTGAGATTTTTATCAGATTCTTTGGAGAAAACCTGTGTTATAAAAGCTTATTGTTTGTGGTTTTTTGTAATGTAATTAGGTAAAATCGGAGAATGTACTAACTGCAGATTACAGTGGATCAAGTTGGGACGATAATGATCCATCTGTGTTTATAATGACAATTTTAGAAAGCACAAGATTGAGAGGTGAATACCAGCTCCCAAATGGCTATGGTCCTGATAAAGCTCCTCGA